TTTTAATTTCAAGTATGCTAAATGTTGAGTCATTCCAATAATTAATCAAGNTTTGGCTATGATGAAAAGTTCCTTAATTTCTATGCACCACCGAGTAATAAGAATCTTAATTTGTAAAAGTTATTTTCTCTTTACTTCCAAATTATTAACACAGTTTAGATAGAAGGATAAATATTTTTGTGAAAATCTTAGGAAATTCTTTAAATAACTTTTAAAATAATATATTTTCTTAGTAATATACTTGAAGCTAAATATAATATGCTTTTAAATTTGCTATACCATCTTTCACAAAATGTTTTAATTTTACTTAATTAATTAGCCACAAGTGATCAATTTTTATTATATTATTTTTTTAAGATTAATTTTGTTAATCATATAATTTTATTTATTTTTAAATAAATAATTTTTCGTTCTTAAATAATATTATTAAAATGTGAGATAATTATAGTTAGAATTTAAAAGTTTTTTCCAAATTAATGTCATNATTATTCAAAATACAAAAAAAGCTAACAAAACAATAATTGATTCAATACGTTTTTTTTATATTTTATCTACAATTAAACATAAAAAACTTATGATTTATGAACTTAGGACACAATTTTCTTACCTAATCCTAATTTATCTAAAATAAAATTTGCTTCTCCCTAATATTTTCAAATAGCATAGTTTTAATTTCAAGTATGCTAAATGTTGAGTCATTCCAATAATTAATCAAGTTGATAAAAATATTTTTTTTCAAGTCACTATTTTAATAAATTAAAATATATAATAAATAATATATTAATTATGTTATAATATTCGTTTTTCATCTATAATCTATAAACCATATCTATTATATATTTCCTGTGAGAAGGGGATAAGAATACTAGCACGGCCCTTCTATCAGTTGTAAGTGGTGACTAATGAGTGGTTGCGTCAGATCGACAGTCCGTATAAATTTTTGTCAAAAAATTCGAGGAGTTCTGAACAGAACTTAGGCGGATAGTCCTATCTCGGAATTATAGTCGTAAATTTTATTTTCGAAGAAAAAGTATTGAATGTAGTTAGTGCCTATGCACTGCAAGTAGGATGTGATGAAATAGACAAAAAGTTTTTTTAAAAGAGGTAGATGTGGTGATGCAAGGAATATCCGGTAATGAACATATAGTTATAGGTGGATATATGAATGGACATGTAGGTAATGAAAGAGTACATGGAGTGTATGGTTTGAGTAGGAAGAATGAGTTTGGAGAAGAATTCTGGATTTTGCAATATCGTATGATATCGCTTTAGTAAATATATATTTAAAAAAAGAGNAGAAGACTTCTGGATTTTGCAATATCGTATGATATCGCTTTAGTAAATATATATTTAAAAAAAGAGTAAAGAACATAATATAATTTATAATAGTGAGAGTCATAGATTAATCATTTTATGTGGAATATAGAGTGTAAAGCAAGTCAAAAATTATAAAGTTATCCCAGGGGAGAGTATCACTACTCAATATAGACTGACGGTAATGGAGTTGTAGTGGAGTGGGAAGAGTGAACTTCTTGAAAAATTGTGATTAATTTTATTTTTTAGACCTTTATTATGTAGTATTAATTATGCAACAACGCATATTAAAAATATTGACCATGCAAATATAAATCGTAATTCATATACATTTAAATTATCTAAATTCAATAATATTTTATTCAATAAAAAGCTATCTATAAAATTTGTTGCTATCCTTACCGATAAGCTGATATATTTTTTGGGACATAATTCTATTTTAGGTGCTTACTACATAAGTTTTATTTATTGAGCCATATAATTAGCGATGAACTATTTTTTTTTAAGTTGACGTTGTGTAAAGTGCCTACAATTGAGTTAGATTATGAAGAAAAAGTGAGTTTTAATGAACTCAACCATGTGATAATTATAGAGTAGAAAAGGGTATCAACATAAATGAAAATGGTTAAATTCAGTATAAAAAATAATAATAAAGAATAAAGAGTGCTGTTTATCGGTCATTTATTGTAGTGAGGATAATGTAGAGGAAAGCAAAATAGAGATAATGAATTTTATTGTGGTAGGAGATATAAGCGAATGGCAGTGACCGGATAGGATTTTCATATTAAATTCATTTAGGGGAACAGGAAATAATACACATATATTCTTTTCAACAAGGCTTCTGGATTTATGACTACTACTGTTTAAGTTCAATGAACTTTAAAAGAAATTTCCCTGTTTTCTATTTACGATAAAAGGTTACATTCACATCAATACTGGCGGCTGAAAAGTTTGATTCCGACTGGCAGGCGACCAGAATCTGCAAACTTTAAACTCATTTTTAATCTAATTTTGACAAATGAAACAACATGTACAGAACATAACTTTTAAAATGTTTCTATGTATTGTATAGTATTATATTAAAAAAATAGTTTAATGTTTTAAACAATTTTCTTGAATGATTTATTTGTCAACGTTTGGTTTTTATTATATTGTTTTACTCATTCAAAAGTCATACAATACAAAGGAAGATTTTCTATGAATATAATATTTTTTTTCAAATAAAATTTAAGTGTGATTTTCAAAATATTTAATATAGTATGTATTACGTAACTTTTAATTTACATAGACTATTTGTAATGAATGCCTTTTATTTAGAAAACTCTAACAACGAAAAAAATTATAATTTAATTTTTAATGAAATTGGGTTATATTCAGTAATAGATAAAAAAAAAATATATTGCAAAAAATGTTATATTAAGCTTGTCTTAATTTTTTCTAAAGATTTTCTTCCATAGTAAACTTTCTAAAAAATAGTTTTTATTTATCAAAAGTGAATTGCATTAGGTATTTATAAAAAAATTTTCGTATTGCTAATATTTAATTATTAAAACAATAAAAAATAAATTTAAACAGAAAATATTTAATTACATAGCATAATTTGTAGAATCATGTTTGCTCATTGTTTAGTATATCTAGTTTGACTTTTTTATTACATTAATAAACACCGTAAAGTTAAATTTTAATTTATTTGAATTTTTTTTGTATAAATTCAGGTACTGTGGTATATTATGTATTATAATTATTGATAAAAAGAACAATACACAATTCATTTTATGATAATTTAGGTAAAAAAAAAAATTTATATAAACTTATCCCAACCCATCTTAAATATGTAAATTTAAAGAATTATTAAAATATTTATAAAAGTATGATAAAATTAATAACAGCATAGGTTTGAAAAAACTACTGAACTGTATAAATTAACAAGTAAATTATCCGTTTTCATATTTGTTATAAAAATGTCCTAGTTTTATGCTATACATGTTAAGAGTGACAAAAATGTATTTAATCTAGAAAGAGGTGGCGGTTATTGAACATACTAACCATGCTGGCAGAATGTCAATTATTTTTACGTTGGTGACGTCATAGTTTTGTGCGTAATGTTCTCTACATGAATTTGACATTGGACATGGGGTGGTACCGTAGCTGCTTCTATCTCAATCTATCCTATTATGTTAGTCCATTTCTTTGTACTTACCTTATTTTTCCTGTGTAGTTTCTTACAAAACTGTTTAATTGTGAGCAATTTTCTTTGGGTTAAAATTTTAGTAATAATTTTAATTGCTTCTAGAATTACAAATTAAAATTAAGTCTAATGAGAATAGCTGAGATAGTTTATACTATTGTGTTTTGTACTATACGAAATCCAAAGATCTATACATAATATACATAATGTCTTATATCTAACTATTCTTGATATAATTATCATTTTATTGAATTAGAAAAACAATAATGATTGCCTTTTTAGACTAAGTTTTAGCATACTTTAAACTATTTATCATTAATAAGATAAAAAAATAAATAAATCTGATGTAGACGTATTAATACATCTACGAAATTAAAAATCTAAAATTGTCAACGTATAATATGACGACGACAATTAGGACAAAAATAAATAAATATATAAATGTACTTAATTCGAGTATCAATTCCTTACAAAATAATAAATTGGGTTTACTCTTAGACTATGGTTATTTTACGTTAATCGTGTCTTTTAAGATTACAATAAGAAATTTTTCTGAATACTTTGTATGCCATAAATAACCGTTAGGAATAACACATAAGCCCATAATAAAAAAAACAGCACAGGGGGGTCGCGGCACAGTGGTGACGTGGCATAGTTGGATCAAGTAAATGATATCTGACAGTGATTAAAATCACTATCAAAAAAAACGCTTCGATGCAAATCTTTAGATAGTGTTTAATTTTAAAAAAATTGGTGTTTTATTCCAAAAGCTACTTGATCTGCTGNGAAAAAAATATACCAATTGATAGGAAAAGACATCAAGCATCTATATAAAAAAAAATTATATTCATACGTTCATTTTTGAAAAAGTTACGGCAGTTTTTAGTAAAAAAANTTAAACTATTTATCATTAATAAGATAAAAAAATAAATAAATCTGATGTAGACGTATTAATACATCTACGAAATTAAAAATCTAAAATTGTCAACGTATAATATGACGACGACAATTAGGACAAAAATAAATAAATATATAAATGTACTTAATTCGAGTATCAATTCCTTACAAAATAATAAATTGGGTTTACTCTTAGACTATGGTTATTTTACGTTAATCGTGTCTTTTAAGATTACAATAAGAAATTTTTCTGAATACTTTGTATGCCATAAATAACCGTTAGGAATAACACATAAGCCCATAATAAAAAAAACAGCACAGGGGGGTCGCGGCACAGTGGTGACGTGGCATAGTTGGATCAAGTAANTAACACATAAGCCCATAATAAAAAAAATGTTGGTTGCGTTCTATAATACTCTAAATATTTGCCTGTAAGTATCTTTGTACTTATGCTCTTAAAAACTTTGGCAAATACTTTGACAAATGAAAAATTCAAAGTTATACATGTCATGTAATTAACTGATAAATAACTGATGTGACCTAAAAAATAACAATTTTTTTGATTCAATTTGTTCAATAAATTTAAAAATTTGTTTTTTAGGATTAATCGATATGGGAAACCCTGTTTGAAAAATGACTATGATAACATTATCTGTAGTCGAAGAATGGCTTGATAGCCATCCAGATCACTGTCAAGATTATTTTTTACGCAAAGTTGAACTTGATTTTATTAACAAATGGCTAGTGTCACATGGATTCCTTAACATCAACGAGTATATTAGTTCGACAACGTCTACGTCGTCATCAGGTGACGTTAGTCCTGCTAATGGATGTGATAAAACTATTACGGCAAATGCCCCAAGCATTATGATCAACGGTAATAATTCCTTATCGGTTTCACAAATGTATCGATCCAATTCGAAACGATGTCGACGACATGATTTTGCAAGAGCCAAGACAAGGAGTGTTCTTCGAACACAAGAAATTGGAAAAGATGTGCCAATATGTACCAGTAGAAGATCTTCATTAAAAGATATGAGAAAGTAAGTAAATTTGAAACTAATTATTTTATGAAATTCGATATATTTTTAGAATTTTAGTAAATTTGGTAAACATATTCTTTTAAAGTATCGAGAAATGCAGTGTTTACTTTTACTCAGTTTGGTTATGTATAATATGAGTTCTAGATAATATTGTTAGATCGTTCTCATATTTAACACAGTCAGACAATGCACTCAGTTTTATCATTATCACCATTGACAATCTAATAATTTAGTCAATTTCCAGTTAAAGTATAATTTAAGACATCTTATAACAATAGTTTATTTGATTATGTTGTATTCAAAATATTTAAACATTACGTGTGACCATTACTTGTATATAGCTTCAAAATAATATCGTAAACTGAAAGGAAAGCATATTAAAAATTAAGTATTCCAAAAGTTAATTAATAATTTAATTTAACTAATTAATTTTAGATAATATCAAAGATAACTTAAGATTTTTATGAATTCTTTGAATATTGAATATTGGTCAAAATGCATTAGCAGTAAGAATTAAAATTTTAATTGGTTAATTAATTAATGAAACAAAATACAAATAATAGTAATTTATAATAATAATAGTTTATTTTAATAAACATAATACATTGCGCATGTGGATAAAACGTTAGAATTCTTTACACACTCTTATTTAATTAATTAATCATAGTCTTTATAATCAATAGACTAAAAATTACATTTAAATACAATAATTGAATACATGAATTATTTTTTTTCCAGACTAGTGTATATAAAAAGGAAGTCATTTCTCTTAGGTTTATAATATTTTGATGACATAAACAATTCAAGTATTAGAATATAATACTGAATATTACACGAAAATTCTTTTTACAATTTAAATACTATTAAAAAAAAAGATTCAATTTTTGTTTATTAAATCATAAAAAACTTTTTATGAAATTTAAAAAATTGTATTCTTAATTTCAATTATTGTGGATTATTTAATTATTAAAATTAGTACACTCAACTAAAAACAAATAATATAAATTTTGGTTGCATTAAAACTAAGGATTTCAAGTTCTTTTTTTAATTTTTAACCATTCAACTTCTTTACTTCCCATTATTGTATGTGATATCTTATATGTAAATGTCCCATCATACATTTGATTAAATATTCCTGGTCCATTACCCATTGATTCTCTAATTAAAACTTCATATTCTATTATGTTTTTTGGATCGATATAACAACTATTACTAACACAACGAGGTTCGAATTCATACGTGTGAACTGATTCATCTGTAGATCTTTCTAAGGCAAATAATTTACATCTCACGTCTATTATCGCAGAATTAGAACACATAGAACTTGCCATATTATCTGAAAATATAAAAATTTGTTATAATGTAATGTAAAACCACTGATAAAAACTCAGCACAGTGGGGTCGCGGCACAGTGAGGATGTGGCATAGTTGGGTCCAGTATAGATGATATCTGACAGTGTTTAAAATCACTATCAAAATAAAATGCTTCGATGCAAATCTGTAGATAATGTTTAATTTTCAAAACTTAATGGATTATTCCAAAATCTACATTATCTCCTATCGTCTTATTTATATTCTGATTACAAGTTTTATGATTTATAAATGTAATATATGAATAAATAAATAAATAAAATTATATATTATTAATATATAAATATAAATAGTACTTATATTAAAAAAATTATAATGATCTATTCATTTTTAAAAAAGTTATAGCATTATAAAGTTAATAATATAAAAAAGAATATTTTTACAAAAATCGTATTTTTTTTTATTAACTTTGATGTCCATTTTCACCATGAAAATAAAATAAAGTCCAAAATTTTTTTTTTCTTAATAAAGTATATTAATTAAGCTTTAATTTAAAGTATATATAAAAGTTTCAGTATTTCCGGAACGCTTTCAAAAGTTAAGTTGAAAAAGTTTTCATTTTGAATGCCTGCCTATGGGCAGGTAAAGGGTCAGATTTATAAAAAAAATACATCAAATGATATGTAACACATCATTCATCTATAAAAAAAATTTATATTGATTTGGTCATTTTTGAAATAGTTATGACAGTTTTAAGTAAAAATAATTAAAAATATTTCGAAAATTAGAGATTTTTAAATTTGTAATTTTTTGTAGATTACTCCCATTTACGGGAACGTGGGAAATTTTTTCAATTTTTGAGGGTAATGTCTTCGACTAGTTACGATTTGTGATCTTTTGAAGTATCGTTGAAAGAAATCGATTCGGTGAGAGCTGAGAAAAAGTGGTAACAGACAAAAAAAAAACACATCATAGTAAAATTAATACCTTCTCAGCTTCGAAGCTAAAAAATATGTATGAAATATGGAATAGTAAACTTCCTATGACTTATTTGTTTTATGAAATGTAAATATTAGTTTAACTCAATTGTTCAATTTTTTATTTGCAAATATATTATTGAACTTACCAACTTTATATTGAAGATATTTTTGAAATATATTTTTCATAATAATTCTTCTTTTTTGAACTTCGGTATCATAAGACAAATTTTCTGGAACAATACATACAATAATCATTTAACTGCTTTATATTTATACTAATACTGCAAGTACCTAATTGATAAATTTAATTTTCCTATTTTAACTATGTGTATTTTTTAAGGGAAGGTGTTTTATTTTGTTAACGCTAAAAAAATAGCTCATGTTTTAAATTGTGAATATGTGTTTTTTAATCAATTTTAATGTAATATACTTACCAGTCATTGTAACATCTAAAATTATTTGTATAAAGTATAAAACAATTATAAAAATTAAAAAATATAAGGTATTTTATTTTATAAAGGTTTATATACATATGCAGGATTATGTAATTATAAGATATTCTTTATACATATGAAGAGTGAATGTGTCAAAGGTTCTATGTGCCAAAAAAGTAAAAAAATTGTTTTATTTTTGATTTATGTTCTATGTGCCAAAGGCCACAATCTTGTATGTGTTTCAAATGTCAATTAAATTTTTTACTTGTACAAAATTGCATTCATAGATGGTGTTCGATATGTGAGACATGCCCATGTTACCATTGTTTTTTGTGTTTTCTGAACAAATATGTTTTTGGCACATAGAACGTTTGACACATTCACTCTTCATATATAATATAGTTAGATCGGTTCACCATGTAGCATATACAATGTATATGAGTGATCCAGATCTAGCTCATAACTCTTATAACTTTTGATCCAATAATCATTTTGTTGAACATTTTATTGCTTTCTTAGACTATGTCTAAGAAAATAGACATTAAGAAACAATTTTTTAGACAAAATTTTATGGGTCGATAACTATTTTAAGGCAAGTTATCATTGAATTAGAAGTATTTTAATACATAGAGTATGTAGACCCCCTCGCTATAATTTTAGATTTGTATGCTTTAAGAATAGTTTAAGAAGACACTAATTATTTTTGAAAAATAACAACAAAATGATTATTGAATCAAAAATTATAAGAGTTGACACCCCTTTAATTTATAAGGGATGATTAAAAAGAGTAACATAAGCTGATAAATCAAAAAATATATGCCATTAAAAAAAAACAATAATTTTTCTTTTAATGTTGTATTTATTTTGCGAGTAAACGAGTAGTTTATGGTTTACCAAGAACTATTTTTTGTAATATTAAGATTTGATTAATTATAGCACAATATCACCTGCCAACATGCGGTAGTTTGGGTTGACGGCAAGAAAATAAATGCAGTTATTTTCTTTTAAATATTTAATTAGTCTCTCTTAAAAAAATATAAAAATTAACATCTATACTTACTACACGAAAAATCTGAAAAATATATATTATCATGAAAAACTAAAATATTAAAAAATACAACAGTACAATTATTCAATTATGGGATTAGTCACTATCAAATATCATCTTTTAGATGCCATTATTGGTAATACTATCACCAACATACATTATCTTTTAACAGCAGAATTTACATTTAAATAAATTTTTGCCTGTTCTAGTGTCATGTACAGTTTTATTATTTTTTTTAAATATTATGTTTGAATTATTCTTTTTGAAGTGAAAGTTCTTTATAGAGGGTGCGAAAAAAAAACAGATTATCGAGTGTCATGGTCGGCATCTTGGTCGGGCACGGTCGACCACGGTCGGCTGTAAAGTATATTTTATATTATAATTTAGTACTGTATTTTTGAAAATTAAAGTAATTTTATTTAAGATGTATTTAATAATTTTATTTTAAATAATTTTGATTATGCATAAAAAAATTTAAAAAAACCATTATAGATGCAATTTTCACGTTATATCTTCATAACGAAAGAAGTTTCACTTCATCTGTGCGTACTCGTAACACGCACTGGCTTTTTTCTTTTTTTTTGTAGCAGTTGATTTAGTTTAATGATTTAGATCGCTAAATCAACATAGTCACATATTTTTCTCAATTTATTAATTAATAAGTACTTTTTAGGATTTATTCTTTATGTCTTATACTTCAATTTTTTCAAATGATAATTTATATATTTAATCAGGTTATTTAATATATAATGATCTAATAAAAACTTTAATGGTCGATAACAACATTTGAACTAATGTTTCAAAAGTTATTAATATGTTTATACTTAGATGGGAGGAGTGCAACTTAATAATGTCTAACGAAAAATATAATAAAATTATGATATTTGTATCGTCAATACATTAAATTATTAGACATTTTTTGGCTAAATTTTTTCTCCCTTTAGTTTTAAGAATTTTGGTAAAATTCTAAGTACTCGTTCAAGTTACTAACATTTATATACCTAGATAATAAATTAGATAGTCATTTGAATTTTTTCATTAAAAAAAATTATATTGCCACCTTTATAAAATATGAGGGATGAACATAGAAAATAGTAGATAAATTGAGAAAAACATGGAAGTAATAGAAATATTTTTATTTTTAAATGAAATAAGTTGTAAATAAAAAAAGAATCAACTTGTATACAGGTGTTCAACTATGTTTTGACATTTTAATAACTTTTCTCCAAATGACTATTTTGCCTTACTCAATAAGCTCTTATCCTAAAGTTGTTATCCACAGATCAAATTTTTTTGTAAGAAAATAAACTAAAATTTTTGATATGTGTAATCAAAGCTTTAAATTGATATTCAAGCAAAAATTTTGCAATCGACCTAACTATGTTTTTTAATGGTTTGATATTAAAATTTAATTTGTGAGTTTTTATATATGTTTTGAGACAAGCAAAGCATATCAATAGTGTACTAATATTATTGTACAATTTTAATAAAGTAAATCAAGAGAATATTTTCTATCGATAAAGTTTGAGTTTTACAATAAACATACTTTTCAATTTACTATATTCACCAAATAATTTTACTTCTGTATTCTTATAAAAGTTAAGTTTTGTGGTTGATAACGCCTGATCACTATTATATCTGTATTTTTCTAAAAAAAAAAACAAAATAATTTTCTTTTAAATTTAAATGTATTAAAAATTTAATTAGAAAACAAAATTAATAATAAAAAAATCTTATATAATTACTTGAATATACGTTTTTTGGTGAGTCTAGATCCAGAAGCATATATTGAAAAAATTGAATTATTTAGGTTTCATCATATTTTGAGTATAATTTACAGTTTTTTTTTTAATATGAGCATATTTTCAGGGTTTTTTAAGAAATAAAAATGATTGATTAACTATGCTTTACGCAATATCTTTAAAAATATAAAACATTTTATATTTTTTATTTCCAGAAGTTAATAAAGTCCAATTGCCCATCTACTCTTTAAAATAGTACCTTAATTTTCTAAAGTAAAATTTACCTTACTTATCAAGGTATGATTTTTAAATTGAAACGTATATTTAACTATTATAAACTTATATAAAAAAAAGAAATTGACTAATCATCAACAACTCTTAAACTACTATTTTAGAAATTATATACCTTTTATTAAAAGGTCTGTTTATTTTTTGGCTAGGATTTCGTTAACCACACTATTCTAGTATAAAAGTAATAACATTTTTTGAAACACTAATTTGTTATCGATCAGCTATTTTCTTATGTTTAAGTTAGTTAAACATATACTCTTTCACTAAAAAAAATGTAGTTGATATATTTCATAAGAGAGAGAAGAGGTAGGTCCAAATGTTTTTATAAACATTGTAGAAGATAGGATACTATTATCGTATAAAAAGAAAAAACGTAACATATTTCGTGAAATATTTAAATATTGTATTCATAATTTGTGAATCACTCTGTATTTAAAGTTTTAAAAACCTATAAATTCATTTTCGAACTTTAACTCGTTGAAACGCATAAAACATGAATTTTATTTAAAACTTATTTATTGTCTTTACGCTAATAATGTTGAAGATATTTTCACGGAAAAGTATTTATATATTCTTACTATATTTTAAAATTTGAAATATAATATTAAATATTTAAAAAAAGAAGCTAAAAAGTTCTATTTTATTTGCATAATGTAAACATTATATATTAATGATATAAATTAGCATAAATAAATTTTAGTTATTTTGAGATTTTGATTTGTTAGATTTGGCCTACTTGTAGATATAAATAAATTAACATTAATTACCATCATCAACAGCTTTTAAAGTTAATGAATCTAAAAACAAAATAAATCTGTTGTTATTAAAAATGCTTGAAATTTATTTATTCATGATTTTAATTAAACTTTAATAATTGTGCTATATTACCTCTTCTTAAAAGCTCATTAGCTACAAAGTCTACAAAATCAGGAAAAATTATTGTAGCAGTTATATAAAAATTAATAAACAGTATAAAAATAGAAAGTTAATTAAAAATTTAAATTGTTTTGAGTATTTTTCTATTTTAAGTGTTGGTTATTTGACGCTATATTGAAAGATTAATTATTGAAGAATGTTAAATTAAGTCGTACTTATAAATTTTTATGTATTAATATATATATATATATAAATGACATTTTAAATACTTCTTAGTATTCAGAGAGTGAATTACTAACATATAATCGTTTAACTGAATCATTATAAAATGTAGATTTTTTAGTTTTATTAAAAAATTCATACATAATATCTATACTCCAATGTATGATATAATTTTTATTCAATTAAATGAATTATTGTTATTTTTCACTCTTTCATAACAATAATACCTACTGTAAGTATAATTGTCAATCAATTTTTCAAACGCACTTACAATGTGTTTATCTAAATTAAAATAATTTTTAAAAAACATTATTAGTACTTTGGTTTGATTCACATTAATTAAATTTTTAGTTTATAATGAAAAAGATTTAATAGTTAGGTATTTATAATAAAGTCAATTTTAAATATATAATTCCATTAGATAATATTAAATAATCTTTGTGTTTTTTAACGTTCTGGCTATTTTTAACATTGAAACTGCTATAAAAATGGGAAGGTCGTAAAAAAAAATTGTTTTAATCTAAATATAGCATAAAGAAAATACCCTAAAAATTTCAGAAAAAAATGAGGTGGTCGTGCAAACATTTCTGGATGATTTGGCATAGATTGACCCCATTATAATAATATATATTATGAAGTTTTATTACTATTATTTGAAATGCATTCTAACATTTGATCTGCAATAAAATAAATATAAAATAAAAAAATGTTTTAATACATTATGTATAAGAATTAACACTTTTAAAAGAATCTGTCAATTTTATTAAACATATTATACTGTACAATTTTCAATTGTGATAGAAAAATATAATTTTTAGTAACCAATCATAAAGAAATGCAAGGAAAAATTATTGCTTACTAGTTTTATTCATTTCTTGCGCCACCTCTAAAATTAAATTAAAAAAATTAAACGAGTTTTATTATATTAATATATTTAAACTAATATAAATCGTTAACTTACGAAGTAATAACGAATTGTCGAGATCACCATAAGTACTAATTACAGCATATATGCAGAAAAAAAATGACAGAATTATTAAATTCATATTGTTGGCTGTAACAAAAAAAAAAAAAAATTTAATTAAAATAGAAAATGTCTCATATGATTTATATGAGTGTGATTTTTCATTTAGACTTTAAAGTATAGTATTGAATAATTCACTTTGATTGTAAATATATTTATATTAAACTTTGCGTTAAAAATACTGAAAACTTGATACCAAAATCACTTACGTTAACTGTCTAATGTGTACTTAAAGGTATTTTAATGTGTAAGATTTATTTATTTGACAATGATAAAAGTCTTGTTTTACAGTTTTTAATATTTTGAGTACAGATAATTTTGAGATAATTGAGGTTTGAATGGAAAATGAATATGGCTTAAATAAAAAATATTACAGTTATGTCTACAAATATGTTTGAAAATATTTCAAAAAAACGTCGATATGTCAAATTTGTTGACAACTGTTCAAATAAAATATATATTTGATTAGAATAGTATTAGTTCCTTTTGTGTAAAATGTGAACATGTTTTTATTTTACTATGTTAGATTTTGTCTAGTGTGCAAATAAATAAATTAGTAAATATGTCAGGTCGATAGCAGGCGTAAAATTTTTTTCAAAAAGTATGAAGAGTCTTGAACAAAACTTAGGCAAATTGTTCCATCTCGGATGTACGCGTGTGCAATATGAGGATGGCTGAAGTGAGCGTAGATGATTTAGAAGATTGTGTCAAGTGGAATTTTAGGATAAGGGTGGCTGACCTGAAGTAGCTGGAATTAAGTCGAGGAAAAAGAGAAATTTAGAGAGAAAAAATTACCCTTTCATAAAAAAAAAAACATTTATTTATGAATTTTCAAAAAAAAAAATTACTTGTTTAAAATACAAGTATATAAAGAAGTTCCTTATTATTAACACAAGACGGGCATTTATAATTTATATAATCGTATCTACGTAATGTGGCAGTCGAATTTCCTCTATCATTTGGTACCCGTGAAAATAATACTGCTTAACAATAATATTACAACATAATTTTTCCTATATAACTGAAATAACAGAAATCATATGCGAAACTAGACTTTTGTGTTAGATTAAAACAAATAAAAATTGGTTCGAGTTTTCAATAACTTTTGTGTTTTCCTTGTATATAGTAACTTAGTAAACTTATTTTATAGTTAGAAAAGGATATTAAAAAGAGAAATTAAATAAGCTTACCGAACATTTTTTCTATCTAATTATCCCGCCTTTCGAAAACCAAAAGTTTCTGTTATATATACAATGTCTTAGGATGATAGAACCTTTTAGTTTTCGTTTGAAGATCTGTTATCGAAAATAATAAAATCAATGCAGTTATAGCCTCTTAAAAAATATTTGAATACTTCTAATCAATACTCAATGATATTTCTACAAGATCATTTATGGGTGGTCGTTATAATCGGGGGTGGGGCTAAAATGTCTATCGTGCTAACTTCTTTATCGGGGCCATTTTGTTTTTTGCTCTTAAAGTAAAATAAATCGATCAACGTTTGTTATTTCATTGAAATACCGATAATAATTTATATTTTTGACAACACAGTAGATATTGGAGACTTACGCGTCGAAGAGTACTATTTTATTTATATATTTTTTATATACAAAGACTATACTTGTAAACGAATTTCAATATTTACGCTAAAGAAAACCCTATGGAGAATATACAGTCTAGTGTCAATTTTGGGTCGGTGAATAAACTTGAGCAATTACATATTTTATAGATTTCATCTCTTAATTTTTTTTAACAAATATTTTGTATTTCTTAACAATATAAGTAAATATTTTATTAGCGCTGTAGATTGATACGGCCTAAAATATTATAGATATTAAATGACCCTAGTTGGTCCACTTGATGGTAACTATTTTTTAATGTGGTAAAAGTATAATTACTTTATAAAATTTAAATTGTATGAGTTGTTGTAAAATATATTTTATCATAAAGTGTACTTGTAAATTAATATAACGTGTACCATATTTGTTATATTTGCTTCTTAATGACCATTTAAGTATATGATAGCTCTAAATATTCAATAAATTATTAAACAAAAGTAATTTAAAGTTTTTTATTTTCAAATAATAATTTTATAAAACTGTAGTTAGTTATTTTAAAAGTTCAACTCTCTACAGGGTAATTCCGAATGTTCTAACAAATATTATATAGAATTATTTGACTAATTTAGTTAAGTAATTTACTGTTATTTGTTAAATAGTAATGAAATATTTATTTTATATTTAATAGAATACTTTAGTTATTTGTCTATCAATCTAATTATTAAAAATAAATTTTGTTGATTATAAATAAATTAGTTCATTGTTTTAAAGTTGTTTAGCTATAATATAAATTTGATTTTAATCTATACATTTAATTAAAACTGTTATAATGCATAACTATTAAATATTAAAATACATTGTGATTAATTTTCATTACAATATGTTTTTTCGTTTATTTAAAATTGTTTTATATAATGCGTACATATGTTGTGGTTTTTCTTTTTTACATAAAACAAATAATGTGCTTGTGAAGTTTTTAATATGTTTACACACTTAAAAACAATATAAAGTGATTCATTTATCACAAACCACTTAATAAATCGTAAATTAAAAATAACATTAAAATTTTTTTTATGGTTTCTTTAGGAACATGTTTTCTTAATTTATCAATAAATAAATACATTATAAGGTAATTTCTTACACCTTATGAGGGTGTCAACTTCATTTATTTTAAATGGTCATACCTAAAAGAAACCAAATTAAAAATTCATAATATTATTTTCATTTTTTGATTAATTAAATGGTTTAAGATAAATAAATCAAAAACCAAAATCCAATAAACCTTGTAAATCAAAATCGATCGATTTATTTTAAGTGTTTTACTAAAGTATACTATATAAGTTACAATAAATCAGTAAAAATAGCACTTAGATTTGTATAAAACGCAACATAGCAAAAGATTTGTCAATGATGATACATTGAATATTGCTTAATGCTAAACTGAAAAATTAACTAATTATAACATTTTTAAATAAATTGCTTAGTGAGAAATTGAAATGACAATACAAAATATTGAAAATATCAATTGTATTATAATTGTGTTTCAAAAAATAGAAGAACTTAATTTTGATTATTTACTGTTTATTTTGACTTGTGGTTTAGTAGTATTAATGAAATTTTTTTTAGTAACATAATAATATTTTTTTAAGCGTTTTTTATTTCAACGAGGCCTTTGTACAAGCAAATCGTTCGTACGCGCAACTGAATCTGAATACAATCCGACAAGCAATGATAATTTTTATAGAAAAATTGTGCCTATAATCAAGGTATAATAAGCATTTAAATTTATTATTAAAAAAAATCTATTATCTATTGAGTTATCACCCTTATAAGAAATGTATATGTTTCACTTGTTTTTTACCGATTAATAGAAATTATTGATTGATACGATTTAAACCTGTTTATATTATATTTAGATGTATTCAAATCTGGGAAAAAAACTGAATGTTAATTCATTAAGTGACGACTTACGTTTCAATTATTTTAATATTGAATAAGAGTACTTTTATTAATCAATGCAGAAATTATAGTAATAATAATAATCCAATTCATTAACAGAGATGATCATTTTATCTTAATATTAATGTGTTATAGGTTGTTGACTTAATTGATCAATTACCAAATTCAATAAACAATTTTTTTAAAATCTATGTATATTTTAGTTTTTAGCTGCAAAATTATTTAGTGTTTATGAGTACGTTATCATGTTATCCTACGTCATGAATAAATATTATTGTATTTATATATTGTGCTTTCATATTTTTCTGAAAATATGAAATTATCGATAAATGTTAAAAATTCAATAAAATATTTAAAATAAATATTAAAATAAAATTATTTTAAATTTATACTCGTATATAGTGTTTCTTTGCTTCTTAGGTTCTAAGGTGTAATTTTTCTTTCAGTATTTTATTAAAAAGGTTATAAAGAATTGGAATCCAAATTATTATTAATTACAACCTATATTAACACATCATTTAAGTTTATGATTTTTGATACTATGTATTTTACGTTTAAGTACATTAATGTATTTAATTAAAATAGTCTCAACTCGTCCTCTCATTCTCATAAATTTAAACACTTTGAAAAATTAATTAGTCATTACTAACTTTAAGAATAATTGTCTTAATAACTTTTATAATGTTTAATTTTAAAACAGAACTTTAAGAATATCGTATTGTGGCGTTATAATATAAATTTAAAAATATATATATATATATTGAGATTATTATATTGGTTTTTAATCGAAGATTATTAAAAAGCAAAAGCTGCATGCACTAACGAGGTCGTTAAACTCTTATGCTGTAAGAAAATAGGAAACTTATTGTCTCATATTTATAACTCACGTTCATTATTGTTTTATGAAACACATGATAAAGCTTGAGGATACATTTTTCAAATTCAATACATCTACAAATGATGTTCTGCTGCTATGAATTCTGCTTCACATTGCCCTTTTATTGTCTTCTACTTAATTGAAATTTAAGGCGTCAATAATATGTATAGCTTTAAGGTAGTTATTTCACTTCCATAATTTTTTTAATAAAATTTAGGTATTAAAAAAATATATTCGATGACAAAATTTGGGTATTGTAATATTACTTTTTTTTTTTAACTTAATAAAATACTTTTTGATGAAAATGTTATTTTTTAATTTCAAATTTACTGTAAAATAATGAAAGTCGTATTAAACTTAGTTTTAAAAAATGATCATTGTCAAAATAAGGTTGCTTTAATTTTATTTTAATAGTAAAAAAAGCACTTAGTTTGATCATTATTGTTTGATTTATACTAAAACTTAAACGGAGTTGAAATGTTGAAATTATACTTATAACTATAATTTTTACATTTCATGATTTCCGATAATATTCGAAAAGTTTCTTAAGTTTTATTAAATAAAAATTTTTCTAGTGGTATAAAATGACATTTTTTGCGTTGTTGAGCATCAATTTTATAAATTTTGTAGTATTCTAAATTTATTACTATAATGTTTTTATATTATATGAAGGTTTTTATAAAAATTATACTACATAACTTTTGTATGGAAGTCGTGTTTATATTTAAACATTATATTTGCGATAACAAGAAATACTAATCGAATAGGATTCTTTAATACCAATTTTTACGGTTACTCTGTGTCAATAGCATTTTTTATTGCTTAATAGTAAAAAAAGAACAAGTAATACTGATCATGTGATAGATATCACTTATCAACTATATTTGTAGTTCTATAAAATGTTTACTAACCAAGTATGATTCAGAGGCATGGCGTGTTACAATGGACACACTAATTACCAATGAGTT